CGCGACCGGAGCCCCGGACCCGGACCCGGACCCGGACCCGGACCCGGACCCGGACCCGGACCCGGACCCGGACCCGGACCCGGGGGGATCTGAGGCCTGGGCCCGGGCCCGGGCCCGAGCCCGAGCCCGAGCCCGCGGGGGTCCGAGGCCTGGGCCTGACCCCGCAGGGCACCGGTACCGCGGTGGGGCCTGGGCCGAGGCCTGGGGCAGCTAGGCAGGAGTGGGGCGGCAGCGCCCGGCCCGCGGGGATGCGAGGCGGATCGATGGACAGACGGACAGGCGGTTTCTGCCACCCTAGGCCTGCAGCCCCCGAGGCCGTTGGGGGCCTGGAACGGGGCAGGAACGGCTGGGAAGGTCCTGCCGCCTTTCGTAGCCCGGGGCAGTGCGGGAGCACGGGGCAGGCCGCTGTTCTGCAGGGCTGCCCGTAGGTACGCGGCTGGGAGCCGCTGAGGCAGGGCTGGGCTCAGGGAAGGGGTTTCCGGGTGAGAGCACTCGTTGGTCTCACGTTTCTGTAGGGCCTGCAGCAGAGATGTGCCCTCTCTGTAAAAATAGCCAATTCTGGCTCTGTCACCAGTCTGTTCGCTAAAACACAGGAGGTTGTCAACCTTTGCCTGACATAGGAATGACTTTTATGCAAGGTAATGAATTCTCTAAGAGGGATGAAGAATAAAGGACCCCAGGCTTGGCTGTGAAGTCAGCTGCCTGGGTGCAGAAAGGATCTGTGGACTCACTCTGTGAGTTTATGTTGGTTTCACAAAGCACGAATCAAAACATTTAATACTGCTTTTTTTTTTTCTTTTGTATGTGGTTAAATCTTCACATTCTTCTCAAATTAGTTTTGGTCTTAAGGTGAGACCATAATACCTCTGGGTAATCAAAACTCTCACTGGTTGAATTTGAAAACCGATGCTTTTTTCTCACACAACTCTTTGCGTCTCTTCCCTGCTTCAGGACAGCAACGATGACATTGAGGATGTGTCTCTCTTTGATGCAGATGATGATCTATCCAGGAGATCAAAAAAGTCAAAAATAAGGTCAGTGGCCATAGAGAGAGTTTCTAAGATGAGCTCTGGGCAGAAGCCTGGGGAAGGCAGGACTGCCATATTGTATTGAAATATGTAATGGCAGGTAGCTTCCCAGTTTGGCTAGAGGTCACGGAAAGTAATTTTTACATAACTGAGAGAGGCAATTTCAGAAGCTGAACTGGAATAGGTAGATCTGTGCCCTCGTGCCTCTGAACCCTCACATTTAATACGTGTTAATCTTTCTGTGTGTGAGGAATCTACACTGATACAGTGGCTCTGTGTAACGGGAGGTTCTCACCGTGTCGTGGGGTGGTTCTGGATTAGTCCGTTGTCTCTTCCCCAGTCTTTGTTCTCGAGTATGTTTGGTGCTGCCCTGCTGTCTGCCATGTCCAGCTGCCTCCTTCCTCGTTCTGCCCAAACCCCTGCCACAAAGCAGTGTGCATACACGGGGGCTGTGGTGACCCTGGCTCTGTCCTGCACGGTTCTGACCTGGAAACTGTAGGAATCAGCAGGAAGGGCAAGTTTGCTGTGTTGAGAAATGTGATCTTTCCATCAGCGTTGTTCCTGGCATCAGAACCTTTTAAATTTACCTCATTAATATTGCCTTACGTTGAACAGCAGGTAAAACTCCCTGTCCCCTTCCACTTTTTGCACGTGGGATGTGGCTGCACATAGAATGTGTCCTCCTTACGATGAGCTTCTAGTCAGTTTATTTCCCTTATTTTCAGCAGTTGTTGCCCACTGGGTTCACGTTACGGTGCTGAACCTTATCCTGTGAGTTGGTGGGAGGTTGCCTTGGCAGTGTCATTTCTCTGCAGTTGCTTCAGTTTTGTTTGAAAGAGCTGTGACTGCACTGTCCTTCATTCCAGGCATCCAGTGGCATCGTTTTTCCACTTATTCTTCCGAGTCAGTGCGATTGTTGTCTATCTGCTCTGTGAGCTCCTAACCAGCAGCTTTATTGCCTGCATGGTGACAATTATCCTCCTCTTGTCGTGTGACTTTTGGGCTGTAAAGGTAAGTTCCTCTTATGCTTTTGGTTATTTTTATCTTACTATAATAAGAATCATTGAAGAGTGTGATATTCACATCATCAAAAAAAAGTGACTTCTTTGTGCCTTTCCAACAAAATGATACCCAACTACTGTGATGTGTTGCAATAATACAATAATTGGAATAATAACTCACCTAAATTTTCTTTTTTGAAAATCAAACAGAGAACATCTATTAGACTTTCTTTTAAGGTAGCACGAGCTTCGTTATCAGGTCACTTTTTAATCACCAGAAATATGCCTTAATATTATATTCTTACATTAATTTGTGATTGCAATGGGTGTATCAGAAAATAGGTTGTTGTAGACATAAGAGCCATGTTATCTTGTTTTCCCAAATGTTGAGGCAGATGAGCAGCCTTGAAAATAACAACCCTTGGCAAATGGTTTCTTTTAGCAGGAGATATAAAGCTTGTTGTGTTTCTTCTATTCCAGAATGTCACAGGGCGACTGATGGTTGGCCTTCGCTGGTGGAACCAGGTGGATGATGATGGCAGAAGTCACTGGGTATTTGAAGCCAGAAAGGTGAATTTCTTTTTATTCATTTTTTTCTTTTAATTGTTTCTATTTTATGAAACCCCTGTTAATTGGGAGCTATGCTTGTGATGGTAGATTGCCCAACAGGGATGTTTACTTCCAGCCATGGGTCTGTAACCGCGGGCTTGTTCCGTGTAGGCTGCGGAATGAGCTTTGTGATTGTGGAATTTTTAAAAGATTCTTCTGATGTATTGATCAGACTTGATGTAAGTGATGTAAAAGTTCCAAAGTTTCCAGTAAAGGATTTTGCATCGTGTTAGTCAGTAACCTACAGGTTTTCTGGTGTGAACTTGGAACAGCTGATGTAGCTTTTATTTCTTGTAGAAAAGTTACTGGAAGTAGGAAGAAATGTATAGCATTTGTCATGGCTGTTGCTTTGCCTTTGTGTTTGTGATGGCTCCTGCTACCTCTCTAGTATCCCATCTGTCAGGCACCACGCACCAGTACAGGTTGGGGGCTGGCCTGCTCTGAGGAAAAAGACCTGGGAGTCCTGGTGGACAACAGGATGCCCATGAGCCAGCAATGTGCCCTTGTGGCCAAGAAGGCCGATGGCATCCTGGGGGGCATCAGGAAGAGTGGGACCAGCAGGTGGAGGGAGGTCATCCTGCCCCTCTGCTCTGCTATGGGGAGGCGAGGGAGGTCATCCTGCCCCTCTGCTCTGCTGTGGGGAGGCCAGGGAACTGCTGGAGAGGGTACAGCAAAGGCCTATGAAAATGATGAGGGCCCTAGAACATCTCTCTGATGAGGAAAGGCTGAGGGACTTGGGTCTTTTTAGTCTGGAAAAGGACTTGTCGTGTGACTTTTGGGCTGTAAAGGTAAGTTCCTCTTATGCTTTTGGTTATTTTTATCTTACTATAATAAGAATCATTGAAGAGTGTGATATTCACATCATCAAAAAAAAGTGACTTCTTTGTGCCTTTCCAACAAAATGATACCCAACTACTGTGATGTGTTGCAATAATACAATAATTGGAATAATAACTCACCTAAATTTTCTTTTTTGAAAATCAAACAGAGAACATCTATTAGACTTTCTTTTAAGGTAGCACGAGCTTCGTTATCAGGTCACTTTTTAATCACCAGAAATATGCCTTAACATTATATTATTACATTAATTTGTGATTGCAATGGGTGTATCAGAAAATAGGTTGTTGTAGACATAAGAGCCATGTTATCTTGTTTTCCCAAATGTTGAGGCAGATGAGCAGCCTTGAAAATAACAACCCTTGGCAAATGGTTTCTTTTAGCAGGAGATATAAAGCTTGTTGTGTTTCTTCTATTCCAGAATGTCACAGGGCGACTGATGGTTGGCCTTCGCTGGTGGAACCAGGTGGATGATGATGGCAGAAGTCACTGGGTATTTGAAGCCAGAAAGGTGAATTTCTTTTTATTCATTTTTTTCTTTTAATTGTTTCTATTTTATGAAACCCCTGTTAATTGGGAGCTATGCTTGTGATGGTAGATTGCCCAACAGGGATGTTTACTTCCAGCCATGGGTCTGTAACCGCGGGCTTGTTCCGTGTAGGCTGCGGAATGAGCTTTGTGATTGTGGAATTTTTAAAAGATTCTTCTGATGTATTGATCAGACTTGATGTAAGTGATGTAAAAGTTCCAAAGTTTCCAGTAAAGGATTTTGCATCGTGTTAGTCAGTAACCTACAGGTTTTCTGGTGTGAACTTGGAACAGCTGATGTAGCTTTTATTTCTTGTAGAAAAGTTACTGGAAGTAGGAAGAAATGTATAGCATTTGTCATGGCTGTTGCTTTGCCTTTGTGTTTGTGATGGCTCCTGCTACCTCTCTAGTATCCCATCTGTCAGGCACCACGCACCAGTACAGGTTGGGGGCTGGCCTGCTCTGAGGAAAAAGACCTGGGAGTCCTGGTGGACAACAGGATGCCCATGAGCCAGCAATGTGCCCTTGTGGCCAAGAAGGCCGATGGCATCCTGGGGGGCATCAGGAAGAGTGGGACCAGCAGGTGGAGGGAGGTCATCCTGCCCCTCTGCTCTGCTATGGGGAGGCCAGGGAACTGCTGGAGAGGGTACAGCAAAGGCCTATGAAAATGATGAGGGCCCTAGAACATCTCTCTGATGAGGAAAGGCTGAGGGACTTGGGTCTTTTTAGTCTGGAAAAGGAAAGACTGAGGGGGGATCTCATCAACGCCTATAAATACTTCAAGGGTGGGTGTCAGGAGGATGGGGCCAGTCTGTTTTTGGTGGTGCCCAGGGACAGGACAAGAGGGAATGGGCACAAACTTGAGTATAAGAAGTTCCATCTAAACACGAGGAGGAACTTCCTTCCTGTGAGGGTGGCAGAGCCCTGGAAGAGGCTGCCCAGGGAGGTGGTGGAGTCTCCTTCTCTGGAGACGTTTAAAACCCACCTGGACACGTTCCTGTGGGACCTGCTCTGGGTGACCCTGCTCTGGCAGGGGGTTGGACTGGATGGTCTCCAGAGGTGCCTTCCAACCCCGTATCATTCTGTGATTCTGTATTTATCCTTTTGATCCCTTATCCCTGTTCATACGGAGCTAATGGGATGCAGATCTGGAGTAAGGTGAAGATCATTTCCTGCTGTGATGAGGGAAGTCTGCAGTGGTGGACAGACTTGAACCTACACCTTTCTCCAGCTGGGTTTGTGCCCTCACTACAGGCACATTCTTTCTCATAACCATGCTACTTTAGAAAAGCTAGAACATCCCTGGGGAGGGGGAGAAAGGTGGCTGAACCGCTGATGATGCTGGCAATTTCATAGAGTCATAGAATTGTCAAATTTACTCATAAGTTGTTAACCCAGTCCATGTCTTTTAATTCTTATAGGAAGAAGCGAGTGCTTGCTTGGGATCTCTTGTCACTTTATAAATAGTGTGGTGTGAATCACATCTCGTGTGTGTAGAAAAAAAAAAAAAAAATCCTACTTTGATACCAAAGAGTATCAGAGTATCAATCTTTAGTTCTTCCAGTGCTGGAATTAGTGAAATTTTGGTTGTCTGCAGTGACTTGGAGGCAGAAAACCTTACCCTTGTGGCTGTTCCTAAGTGTTGTAACTGAACCATGCAGTAAATGTCATGTTTCCCAAACTTAACCTTTTTAGCCCTAAGAGGATTTGATGCTGCTGCCTCCACTGCTTCTGGTAGAAAAGTGACAGAAGAGTCCCTTTAATGGAAACATCTTCTGCTGCAGAAAGATCTTTCTGTGATGTAGAAATTGATCTAGGAAACACCCAGTTTGTTGTGTGGAGGCAAAAACCATGGGGCTTGTAGATTCTGGACTGTTTTTAATGACAATGTGATCTATACAACAGAGCAGCCTGTTAATCTCTGTTTCCTTTCTCTTTCTAGGTCTCAGCGCAAGGGAGTAAAACTTCATCAGAAGCAGAGTCCCGAATTTTCTGGTTGGGTCTAATTACCTGTCCTATGATCTGGGTGATATTTGCTTTCAGCGCTCTCTTTTCTTTCAAAGTGAAGTGGCTGGTGAGTGAGCTCAGCTCAGGAGTAGATCCTGTGTGCTCCAGGCAAGAGGGTGTAAATCGGTGACCGTGTTTTCCTGTGTCTTAGGCAGTGGTTGTGATGGGAGTGGTGCTTCAGGGAGCCAACCTTTATGGTTATATCAGGTGTAAAGTTGGCAGCAGAAAGAATTTGACAAGCATGGCCACCAACTACCTTGGGAAGCAGTTCTTGCGGCAGGTAAGATTTCCAGGAGTTTGGAAACCCTCCGGTCATATTGGTTTCTGGCCACCAGCTCCCTTACTGCCTGGGCTGTGAAAAAAAAGACTGAAAATATTATTTGTAGTTCTGTAGATGGAGCCTTCACACCTTTCTGCCTTGTGAATTTGAGCCCCCTTCATAAAGTCACAGAGTAATTTATTAATTATAGGTATCAAGTTCCATTTGCGGCACATAGTGAGCTCATATTATTTGCTGGTGCCATAGACATTCCTGGAATATGGCTGGTATATTGGAAATAAGGAACACAATGAATGCGGTGACCGAGTGAGAGGGTTTTTGATAAAGTACTGCTCTTGGCTAATGTATTGCTAAATTACTCCTTCCACTGCAGCACTTCCTCTTCAGGTTGTGCCAGCCACAGACCTGTTCATGTGGAGGGATGCATTAGTCCCTGTGCTTCAGCGTGCAGCTCTTAGCTGAAAGGGCTGCTGCTGCCTTTTCTGTTCTTTCTCACTTCCCACCAACTCTTCTCAACAGGTCCTTTTCTGCCCCTGAGCTGGGTTTTCCTCCTTCCATAGGTCACTGCAGCAGCAGGCACAACCATCCCTTCTTCCACTGCTAGGCTGTCGTTTCCCTTCTGCTTTTTCCAGGTTTCCCAGCTGTGCCTGGCTGGGTTACACACATGGGTCTGGGGACGGGCGGTTTGGCTGCCACGGGTTCATAAATATTTGCTGAATTATTGTCATTAGCGCAATCAGCAATTCAGACATTGATGAACTGTTCTTCTTGGCAGTCTATGCTGGGATTGTGCTCTTCTGTAGCTGGGTTTGCTTCTGAATGCTTTTACGGCTGCAGTGGTTAAACCAAAGGCTCAGACCAGTCCCATCTGGCAGAAATGTCTGGTTTTGCCCCAGAATCATGGCAGTGAGTCACATCATTCTCCTTTTCTTCTTCTTCTCCTTTTGCAGACCGTGGCTAAAGAGGACCAAACAGCATCCTGAGCGTGGTGGAAGCCTCAAGCCAGACTGGATTCATGGTAGTGGACAACAGAGATGAGATTTGGGAGCTACGTACATGAGGTGTGAATTAAAAGAAGTAAATAAATGTGCAAGACTTCAGGTTACTTCACTCCTAGCAACTTTTATTCGATTTTCCGCTAGCAGTTTGTGTTTCGGGCCTTTCTTTAGTTTGATTAATTAGGATTAATTTGCCTAAACTTTAAATTAGAAGTTATCCTAGGTGGCTGCCATACAGGTTTATAACTACTGGATGAATTAAGAGAAAATTGCTGGACATCCTTCTTCAGAAAAACCATGCACAAGCCGAGCCTTCTTTTATCCAAGAACTCCCCCAACTCCTCCAGCAGTTGGTGCCTCAAATAGTTTCAGTTGTGGACTTTGCTGCGTTTTGTTCTCAGAGGTTGTTGCTGTTTCTGTTACGGATTTTAGGTAGTGCTCTTCTGGCTCCACACCTCTCTCATTCTCAGGTTTGAAGGTGGTTGCAGTGAAGGACAGCTAAAGCTGCTGTTGACTTAGCGAGAAGATTATTGAAGTCTTGTGGAAACTGCAGAAAGTGACTTCTGAGCGGCTCCAGACTTCGTTTTTTTAAAATCTGCAGCTTTCTTGGAGGTCTCAGAAACATCTTAAACCCCTGGATTTGTGGGAAGTCCCTCTTCTACCTGCAGGCCTGTGTATGGAGAGCGTAGCAAGAGTAAAACCGGGTTAGGAGGAAGGTCACAGGCACAATTTCAGAGCAATTCTGAGAGCAGTTGTTGTCTGAGTAAAGCTGTCAAAGCGATGCCGTCCGGCAGCGTCGGCTGTGTTTGGTGCCATCGTGTGTTTGGTGCCACGAGTCTTTCTCTGGCCAAGAAGGTGGTGGGTGTTTGATCTGCAGTTTCCTCACCAGCCCCTTGGCGCAGGATCGTGGGGAGCAGGACCAGCAGGGGTTTACATTGGTTGAATCCATGCAGGGTGCTGTCCTCAGGCCACGCTCCCCACGGAGCCTGGAGGCTGGAAAAAACCTTGTGTAGGATGGTGAGTGTTGGCTTAGATGGCAGAAAGTGATGTGTTTTGTCTGAAAAGCTCTATGAAAGGGATCGGTTCCTTCTTCTCGTGTCATTCTGTTCAAGGCAGATGATGCTTTCGCAGCGGTGGATGTTGTGAACTTTGGATGAGGTGTTTTAATTAAGAATGTGGCTTCTTTTTTGAATGATGGGTATTGTAAATCGTGGGATTGCGTTGACACACTCTCTCTCCCTGGACCGTAGCAATACTCGGGAGCTGTACATTTGTTTAACTCTTTGGATTGATACTTTTCCTTTTGTAAATATGTATTTATAAAATCTTGAAATTAAAATAACATTTTGTTTAACCAGATGAAATATCCATTCTATGATTCATGGCTGAGCTCTATTTACACACTGTGTATTGTAGTTTTAGCAGGGGTTATTTGTCAGGATTAAGGGTGCTGGTTGGTGAGCTCTGACATGGTTCCTTTCACCCACGGGTCTTGGACAGTTTTCCCTGTGCAAACACTTTTCTTATTGTGCAGAGCTGAAGTTAATTGTCACTTTATAAGGAGTGGGTAAGATGTTCCTTCTGATGGCACCGAGAGGGCCCTCTGCTCCCTCTGCCTCTTCTCGTGTCATTCTGTTCAAGGCAGATGATGCTTTCGCAGCGGTGGATGTTGTGAACTTTGGATGAGGTGTTTTAATTAAGAATGTGGCTTCTTTTTTGAATGATGGGTATTGTAAATCGTGGGATTGTGTTGACACACTCTCTCTCCCTGGACCGTAGCAATACTCGGGAGCTGTACATTTGTTTAACTCTTTGGATTGATACTTTTCCTTTTGTAAATATGTATTTATAAAATCTTGAAATTAAAATAACATTTTGTTTAACCAGATGAAATATCCATTCTATGATTCATGGCTGAGCTCTATTTACACACTGTGTATTGTAGTTTTAGCAGGGGTTATTTGTCAGGATTAAGGGTGCTGGTTGGTGAGCTCTGACATGGTTCCTTTCACCCACGGGTCTTGGACAGTTTTCCCTGTGCAAACACTTTTCTTATTGTGCAGAGCTGAAGTTAATTGTCACTTTATAAGGAGTGGGTAAGATGTTCCTTCTGATGGCACCGAGAGGGCCCTCTGCCCAGGTCCCTGGCTCACTCCTGGGAGGTGGCAGCATCCCACCATGGAGCAGGAACTTCTAGTCTCCACTAACCTGGAGGAGATGATCTCTGAAGTAAAGGTGCTTCTGCAGCCACATGGGGATGCACGAGTGCAGCGTCTGGCCCGTACGGCGTGAGGGAAGGGAAATCCCTTCTGCTCCAGCCCAAGGAGCCCCCGGTTTGCTGCTGCCGTCGGAGGGACAGCGCTGACTCCGGCACAGCTCCAGCCACGAGGTAGTTGTTTTAAAATGTGTTGAAAGTTTTGGACTTCATGTTTATTCCCCAGCTGCCAAATCTGCCTCCCCCCCCAAACTGCTGGAAAATAGTCTGCTTTTCTGGAAGTTGCAGTTTATTTAATCAAGGACAGAAGCATTGATTAGTACATGGCTTTAAATATATCCCTCTTTGGCTTATTTTTAGCCTCTTGGCAAGCATTCAGTCTTTTTGGCTTCTGAGAAGCTGGCGTTTTATTGCATTTCTCTACGGCATGGATCGGAACCAAATTTCTTATCGCTGCTCCCGTTGGGTGTGAGTTGCATTTGATTTTTTTTTACTCGCCGCCTGCTGGGGTTTCCTGTGAAGCAGGAAGTGGGAGTTGCTGCAGAAATGGGGAAATTCTCTGAATGTGCTTTTTTTTTTTTTTTTTTTTCCAGAGGGGCATAAAAAGGGCTCAGCCTAACAAGGAAATCAGCCCCTCCCTGCCAGTAAGCAAAGGAACGGTTTCTAACGCAAGTGCTTCTTCTCCATTGAATTTTTTTTTTTTTTTTTTTTTTTTCTCCGACAAGCCTTGGGAATCCACAGTAAGCCAGTTCCTTGAGCATTAACTCTGGAATGGTGGCCCCACCTAAGACCTCCAGGCTTGGGTGGTGGCTGAACCCTCCAGGGTTTACAAAAGCAGAAATATTCCAAGAGCAATAATAATAAAGTACTATTTGCTCTGAAATAGCAAAGTATGTCTCGGGTGTTGCAAGCACAGCTGAAAGGTGGGCTTGAAATCATCCTCATTTTACAGGCAGAGCTGGTTTGAGTCCTTGGAGCGTGCCTTGGGCCAGCGGGGGACAGAGCTGGGGACAGAACGAGCCCTGGGGGATGTTTGGTGTCGACCTTGGGGTGTGTGAGGCCTCATCCTTCCTGTGTGTCCTGGGGATGAGCTGCTCCCTTGTGCTCTGGCCACAGCGGGGGCCTGTCCCCTCCTCCTGCTGCAGAACAGCCTCGGTTTGTCCTCGCCCACTGCGGCCAGCGTGGCTCTGGCATCCCCAGGGGAAGGCACCTGGTTCCAGGGCAGAAGCAAGGCTTTTTCTGATGCTGAGCTTCAACACATTATCGTGATGCACCGGGGTATTTTCAAAACACAAAGCTTTAGAGGCAGTTTTGCCACATCGGGGGCATCTCCCCTTCCCTCTGTGCTACCCCCTGCCCAGGGGAGAGCCACAGGGAAGGGCGAAGGAGGGATGCTGAGTGCGCACGGAGAGAACTGGCCTTGGAACCTCTTTGTCTTTTCCTCTAGAGATTTTTGGAGATTTGCCGGGCCCAGAGGGCTGTGGGGAAAGGTCTGTTGTAGCTGCTTGGCTGAGGCCACGCTCAGCCCCGCTCACACAGCGCAGCACATCCCAGCTGGTATTTCCTAAACAAAAAAGATGCAGTGACTAATGGAGAGTGACCTTTGGGGAGACCAAAGGGAGTGGGGATGCGGCTGAGGAGGGTGGATGTTGGCCGGGACCCAGCGCAGCTTCCAGGGCTCCTGGCAGGAAGGAATTTCTCGCTTCCCTCCTGCTTTTCTGTGCAAACAGCCCCAGTTTTGGGGAGCAGGTGTCCCTCCCCACCCTGCAAACCCATGGCAAACCAAGAGCCTCCCCCGTGCCCCGATAAGACAAGTGAAGGGTAGAGAAAAAGGAAACGCTATTTCTGTTTTACTGATAGCAGCATTTTTATCCTGCAGAGGACACTTGGGCCCATCGTTATCTGCCTGCGGGTGCCGAAAGTGAACCGTGTGTGTGTGCGATACCAGTTCCTTCCTGTCCCCTCCGGTGCCAGCGTGTGGCTCAGGGCAGCTGGCGTTGGGGACACAGTGTACTGGTTTCTGCTGCTCAGCCCCAGCCTGCAGCGCTTGGCTCCTTGAATTTCACCCCGTTTCTTAGGCCTTTGGGTGTTGCTGTGGGGACAGCCTCTGCTCACAGCAGTGTGTGTGCTCCCAGCTCTGTCCTGAAGCTGCAAGAATAGCTCTGGGTCAGACTGAACCCACCAAACCCCAGGTTTGTCTCAAGTGTCAGCTAATTCTGTGTATTTTGTCAAGACTATGGAAATGAGCAATTCACAGGCACTGCAGGAACACCTTTTGTGCCTCCACAGCTTTGTGGCTCCCTCTACGTCACCTGATGGATTTTGCTGCTATAAATTTGACCAATTCCTTTGTGAGCCCACCCAGAGACTCCTAGTATTTACAGTGTCCTGTGGGAGAGCTCCACAGATTAGCACTGACTGTGGAAAGATGCTTCACATCTCCTTAAAAGGTGTGGAACCTGCCTCCAACTTAATTTGGTGCCCATGTGGTGAGGGAAGGGAAGGCCAGGGAAGTTCTGTGCCACAAGGCAGAGAGACACTGGGGTTTATGTTAAACATGGGGTTTGAAATCCCCAGAGAAACTGAAACTGCTGTTGGGATCCTGCTGGATGAGGTGGCTGAAGATCCAGGGTCTCCCCTTCCAAAAGCCACCAGCTCACACTGCATCCCCCAGGAGAGGCTTTACTGTCTGCCAGGATGTGTCCCAGCAAGACCATGGGTTTTACTGGGGTAAAGATGTCCAGGAGGACATTGTGGCCTCATGTACTGTCATGTGGCTTCAGGGACTCTTTATCAGAGAGTGGAGCATTAGGACAAGGGGGGATAGTTTTAAACTGAGAGGAGATTTAAGTTAGCTATTAGGAAGAACTTCTTTGCTGTGAGGGTGGTGAGAGCCTGGCCCAGGTTGCCCAGAGAAGCTGTGGCTGCCCCATCCCTGGAGGGGTTCAAGGCCAGGTTGGAGGGGGCTTGGAGCAACCTGGTGTGGTGGGAAGTGTCCCTGCCCAGGGCAGAGAGTGGGACTGAATGATCTTTAAGGTCCCTTCCAAACCCAAACCATTCTATGGGTCTATGACTTTCGTAAGGAGACAGTTGAGCAATTGGACCTCAAGAGGAGATTTGGGATGTGGGGAGTTGTGGGATTCTTTCCAAGTATCTTTCCTTTTCCCAGCAGGGCTGAGGATGACTCAAACGCTCTGCAAGGACAGGAGGGCAAGGAAAGTGAGGCAAGGATGCCTGGCAAGGAAAGTGAGGCAGCGTGAGCAGACAGTGGAGGTGATTTGAGGCAGGGATCCCTAGGGCCGTAGGGTGTGGGCCATGGAGCTATAGCCCTCTAAGGCCTTGTCGCACTACTGAATTATCTGTAGTGCAGAGGAGCTACACCTGCTTCAAAGAGCTGCGTTTGTTTATATTAAAATGGCCACTCTGGGTCATGCCAAAGGTCACTGTAAAACGAAATCCAGTTTCTGACCCTGCTTGATGCTGAGGAAATGGTGATATAAAATAATGATGTCACACTTGCACCTATTTAAGGTCTGGCAATCTGTGGAGCAGGATCTCAAAGCCTGTATCTGTATCATCATTGCTAACACCCATGAACTTCTCTCAGGACTTGGTGGCATCCAAACCCTCCCATGGCAAGGAATTTCCTACAGAAATGGTGTTTTCCCAGGGAACCCCTTTGGTGACCTTCCCATGGTATGAAAACTCCTATTTTATTCCCATCCTTTGTTACGTTTTTTTTCCTGCAAGCTATTAATTTGCAAATTATGCAATTAATGGCTATTAATGCCAGCTCATCTCATCCCTCATTTACTTGCTACACATTTCAAAGAGCTTTAGCATTTGCCAGGTGGGACTCCCCCTCGGCAAAAGCCACGTTGATCCTCTTCAGCTGTTTCTTATCTCTGTGAAGCCCAAACACTTTGCTCAATGTAGGAAATGGATTTTTCTGGTCTGTTATTCCTCATCATCCTCCCAGAATCCTTAAAAAAACCCCAAATCCTAGTATCACACTTGTCACCTCCCACCCATCTGGCAGCAGAAGGGTTTTTGGGGATTAGTGGCTCAGTGGGTTCATCCCTGAGCCCTTTGGACTCCTCCCGGAAACCTCCCTAGCCTGCTAAGTTATTCCTCTCCCTGCTGC